CATTGAGATCATTTATATACATTCAACGAAGGAAATACTGTCATCAATCGACTACATCAATTCTTGAAACCGTTAGTCAACATTGCATAAACCTTAAATATTTTGAATGTGATGCAGAAATAGGATCAACGGATCAACTAATGTCAATCCTCAAATCATCACCATTTCTTGAAACGATAATCATTAGAAATAAGAGAATTCCATCGAATATAAATGATCTATTACGACATGTTAAGTTGACCAAATTACGTTATTTAGAACTCGAAGGACCATGGAAATTTTCACCAGAATCATTGGATGTCTTTCTTAAACGTTCGAAACCACCACTTTATACCTTTGTGTTGATTAATTCCAAATGCTTTGAAGATGATCATCTTGAGGTTTTATTAAAACGGTTAAGCGGAACCTTATACAAGATTGATCTTAAAGGAACGCATAAACGGTTGAGTTTCGACTTAAGAAAACGAACTCGTCAAGTTGTCGATGATTTTTATTATAAAACCATGGATGTTATATGAATCGAGTAGTATAAGTGATAAATTTCATGGATAAGAGGCTGTGTTATAGATATGAAGTAATAATTATTAAACATATAATTTTTGTTGAACTTAAATTGTAAGTGAAATATAAAGAATTAAGAATTATAATGTCTAATAAAGCTCAAATTATCAAATTTAATTTTGAAATAATCTTAACGATCTTAATATCATTATTATATTTTAAATAGTAATAGTCTATTACATTCTTAAAGTAAGGACAACACAATAATATTATTGTTTTAAAATATCACAATGCGTTTATAGAAATTCTCAATAATTTCCCGAGTACTGTATCTTATTTATACCAAATTATTAATAAAGGTTTTGTCAAATCTTGTTATTGGGTAAATTATAAATTTATGAAAAGGATTTTACACCGCATATCATTCTCAATAGAAGAAATACAATAATACGTAGCATGATACGTTAAACGATAGGAAGCTTTCTTTTCGTTTCCGATTCCTTTTGATAAAATTGTTTCTCAAAATACAATAATTTTGATTTTTTTTTAATGAGTTTATACCCAAAATAATGCAAAACTCTATAGTTACAATATAGAAATCCTTGTTCAAGAACATCACATCACATTTTTCAGATATTTAATAACAATGAACATTCTCTTTCTTTCGGAAAGACTTTATATTTCCGTAAATCTTACACGCATATTTTTTTGAATATTATAATTTATAAATCCTTTAAACATTCACGACATTCACGATACTTTATAGATTATTTAAAATTCTTATTAACATTTCTTGACATTTGGTCTCATTCTTTTCATCTAAAAAAGGTAGGGCAGCCATACTTACTGGCAAGATTCCAAACTACTATAACTTGGGTTTGTCCGTGCCCAAATACCCGAACTCTGGTCAAATGTTTTGTGATTTGGGTTTTGTCAGCAAGTATAAGGGCAACGTAACTTATGACATGAAATACGCAGGATAAACCATACCATTTCGAACATCGAGTCTGTCTCTCTTAATTGTTCGAGAAATGGATCCACTTTCATGATTATGTTTGATTTTTTTGATATATAATTGGTAAATATTAACCTGGGAAGATTTAAAATCAGCCGATATGTAGAATTCCAGGATAAGAATTTCCTGATTTACCAAATTAGACTAGAATAACCATGTGTTTGGTTTTGGCCAAAACTATATTTCTGCTTACCATCTAACGAATTAACTCAATTAATATAAGTACTGTCTTATTACTGTATTAACATAATCAATTAGAAAATATATATAAAGTTATTTAAGATCTAAAACTTAATGTAAAGTATCTCAGTTTTGGGATTATTTTGCTAGTGTTTTATGACGTAAAAAATAAAGCTGGTGAAATGAAACGTTACATTCTTACAAAAGTACTTTGATTTGTTACTCGGGTAATTGATCCGAATCAATCAATTAGACGAATATCGCCCTATGAACAATGCATGCCTATTTTGTATAAAAATTGGAAACATATAACCTATTGAGTTTATTATTTTTTCTAATAATTAAAATATAGTTCTACGATTGGTCATTTTTGCAATCACATTATTATCTTTCATCCATACACCCTTGAAAGTTGAATCCAATATGAATAAATAAAGTTAGTCTTTACTATGCATACCGTATCCCATATAAGTTCAAGTCCCAAAGCCAGGCCAAAACCTGACCTCTGTCAAATGTTTGAGCAAGATATTTCCATCCCGCACGGATCGCGTCAAAAAGTCTTAGAATCACCCAGTTTGTCATTGATTTGTCCACAACACCCACACATCTTCAACATGTATTTCTCAATGCACTTGGTGAACTTGCAAACGCTGAACTCCCTTGACTTATGCTATAAGAACATCTGGAACCTAAAATGCGACCAAGTCAACATCATGCGAGCAGTCTTCAACCAAATCTTCTCTTGTTCTTCAAAACCATCCTCGAAGATTCCAACTTTGGTAACAGAATGATTTCGTAATTCGTGCACAACCATCTCGCGAGCTAATAATGACATTCATCTATCAAATTACAGATTTGTTGTATAATTTGAAGCATTTTTTTCTTAATCGAAATCTCTTGCTCTTTTTGTTTGTCCCAAAGCAAGATCCTTGTCACTTTGTAACTTGTCGTATTTTTTGAACAATTTGAATACTTTGTCAAGATCACCATTACGGATTTACCACAAAATCCCGACATCCAAAATACCGGCAATACATAATCACGACAAGTCAAAATCCCGACTAAGACAGAGTCAAGATCCCGACATTCAAAATCTGAATAGTCAAAATCCCGACTATCGAAGGTCAAGATCACGACTAAGACAGGATTCCGACAGTTTAAAATCCAGAAATAGTCAAAATCCTGAATAGTCAAAATCCCGAATAGCAAAAGTCAAGATTCCTGAGACAGAATCCCGACTAAGACAGGTTCCTGACTAAGACAAGATCTTGAATAAAAATTAGCCGATTAAGTAATTGATCAAGTTGATATATATAAATTAAGACCCGTATGGCTAATATAAATATTATAAAGTTATTATGTACGTTGACATTCTAACGATCTTTAAAATTAGTATACATGTGATGCAAAAATAGTTTTTAGGCGACACAAAGGTTATTTTTCGTTTTGCATTACACAGCATTCGAAATTTCGATCGAGCGGTCGGATTTTTTTTTTGTTAATCCAAATAAATCTTTAATTTCTAAGGCTTTCTTGAAAAAGTATTTTGCTGTTTCAGATGATTTCATGTTCTTTAATTAACTTTCGAATCAGCTAAATCATAAGATATTATAAAACTATGTTGAGTTTAAACTTATCAGTAACTTACCGGTACAAAAATGACTTGTAACTGTACTAATCCGTTATCCATTTAAAATTTGAAAATCAGTATTAATGATAGACTTTCAAAACCTGCATTCCTTCCCGAAATAATACAAAATTTCAAATTAGGAATATTAATTGAATGATTTATCTTTATGTCAAAGATTGCTATCAATATGAAATTAGAAAAGACATTCCTAGAATAGACGCAGGAGTTACATATTTATCGTAGGTCTATTTGTATGTAACTTTAAAAAAATACTTATACATGGTGTCCACGCTAAAGAATAATTTAGTTAAGTTAGGGATTAGGGTTAGAGTTCATAATAAAAGGCACAGAGATATATGTGGATTTATTGTCATATTAACAGTTAAATAATGTTAACTGTTTTTAAAAAAAGTTCTAATTTCTCATGACATTAACACTAAAGTCATTACATTCATATTAAAATCTGATGGCAAATTTTGGTGTAGTCGCGTTTACGTGAAGATTATACTAGGCCAATAATACACAAAAATGCCTATTACTACAGTAATCACGAAAAAATAATATACAAGTTTTTCCCATATTCAAATTTTAAAATGGACAACGGATTAGTACATAGCTATTACAATTGCAAGTCATTTTTGTACCTGGTAAGTTACTGATAAGTTTAAACTCAACATGGTTTTATAATACCTTATGATTTAGCTGATTCGAAAGTTAATTAAAGAACTTTAAACCATTTGAAAAAGCAAAATACTTTTTCAAGAAAGCCTTAGAAATCAAAGACTTATTTGGATTAACAAAAAACAATTTTGAATGCCGTGTAATGCAAAACGAAAAATAACCCTAAAAGTTATTTTTGTATCATATATATACTTATTCTAAAGACCGTTAAAATGTCAACGTACATACTAGCTTTATAATATTTATATTAGCCACCGGGTCTTAAGTTATATATATCAACTTGATCAATTACAATCTTAATCGAATCGGCCGAGATCTTGTCTTAGTCGAGATCCTGTCTTAGTCGGGATCTTGATTTTTGGGATTTTGATTATTCAGGATCTTAACTATTTCAGAATTTTAAACTGTGGGGATCCTGTCTTAGTCGGGATCTTGATCTTCAGAATTTTTAATGGTTAGGATTTTGACAATTCGGTATTTTGAATGTCAGGATCTTGACTTGTCAGGATTCTGTTTTAGTCAGTATTTTGACTTGTTGGAATTCTGTCTTAGTCGGGATTTTGACTCTGTCTTAGGATTTTGGACGTTGGGATTATGTATTGCCTATGGATGTCCGATTTTGTGGTAAATTCCACCATTACCCACTTGATTAATTGACCGTCAGGGTCATAACTGGTTATAAACATGTGTATATCTGAATCAAGCGAGATTATCTTTTTCCAAACATCACCTTGGTTGTTAATGATGTTCAAAGAAACAGAAATACAGAACAAAAATATTCTGGATGATTCATAGTTATGTTCACTATATTATTAATCTCTGGTGGTTGTTTTGAGATAATAATATTCTTTACTCTTGTTTGTCTCTATTTCAATCTCTAGCAAGAATCAAGATGGTTGTGTTTGACCTTTCTTTGATTGGTACTTTATTCAAAATTTATTTCTGTGCAATTTCTTGTTTGTTTTGTATATGTTTATTAATTGTTAGATTGTATATGAATATACTTCTAGAAGTTTTTTTTATCTATAAAGATTCTTCAATTGTAAATCACTTATTATTCAGGTAGTGCTTTCATATGATGCTTATGTCAATAATTCCATTATTCTGCAGAATTTTATTTTTTTAGATTTTGAAAGTGATTTTTTGATTATATAATCTTTATTATTAGTATTTTAATATTGTTTATATGATAATTTACAGATTTGTAAACTTATAATAATTTATCACTCAAAGTAAATTTTATTTAATAAGGTCTAACCTGTTTTAAAACCTAGCCAAAATTTTTAATACTTTCAACCATCCTTATTAGTATTTTATATATATTTTTTATATTACTTATATAGTTAACAATTATACTTTAAATAAATATTACAACTAAATCTTGTAACAGAGTTATTTTCTAATTTGATAATTAATATTAATTATATTTTTTCAAACACAACTCACCAGTTTTTAACATCTTTAGATTGTCTTTTGTCTTATATCTCCTAATATTTTTTAGTAGCTTTTTACTATTTTTTTTTTCAAGTTATTAGTTGCTATAGCTTATATAGTTATATATGATAGATTAAAATAAAATCAAATTAAATCAAAATTTTTCTATTTTTTAAGAAAATTTAAAATTTTTTAGGAAACATTTTTTAGGTTTTTTTTAGTATTAGGGGTCAGAATTAGGATTAGAATTATTAATAAATGAGTATATATAAATTTTATAAACTTTAAGAGTGAGCAAGAGAGGTTTTCAATTTCATTTTAATCTAATTTCATTTTAATTTATAACATTATATAATTGTGATTATATGTTGTATTTTTATTTTTAAACAGAAATTTTTATAAGTTTGTTAAATACAAATTATTGTATAATATTAGTTATTTTTAACTAGATTTATAATACTTGATTATTTTTAGCTTTTGTAAAAATTAATTAGTATTTAATATTGATATAGCTTTAGTACTACTAGTCTAGTATTTTAATTATTTTAAATATTTTATTTATTTTTTATATAAAAACTATTACTTTATAATTAGAATCTTCTAATTTAGTTTTTTGTATTTTTTTGTATATATTAAAGATATTTTTTAATATAATAAAACTAATTTTTTACTATAAATTGTCTTTGTGTTTATTACTTCACCTACTACTTTAATTTTTAAATAAATATTATATTATATTTCTAATCAAATATCTTTTATCTAAATCTGTTAACTAAACCAAGTTAGGTCCTATTCAATTAATTATTTTTTTAAACAAGCATTCTACAAATTAAATATAAAAATATTAATACTACTTAAATTAAAAATATAAAAATATTGATGTTGTCTAGTCTTGTCTTTTTAAAACTTATATAATACTTTAATTATGCTTAATTATTATTCTAATCAAGTTTTTAACCAATAGCTTTGTTGGTATTGCCAATAATTAATCAAACCTTAAACTTATTTATACAACTCTTGTATATCCAACCTTCTCTTTATAAAAAAAAATTAAATTATATTCAAAATTTGCTTAGATTATTTTTAAGAGATGAGTATTTTTTATAACCAAAATCTATACAAAACTTTTAAAATTTTCTAAATATCTTTTAAATTTCTTAAATATTTTTGAAACCTTAAAATCTTGATTATAATTTTTATCAAGCAAAAAATTATAATCAGAAAATTAACAAGATTTCAAAAGTATTTAGAAATTTGAAAATATTCAGAAATTTTTAAAGATCTTTTAAAAAATAATCTAAGTAAAGTCTGAGTATGATTTTAAAAAAATTTTTATAGGGTCTGTAATACCACAACTACATGTAATGCAATCTTTTCACAATTGGATCTTCTTCCAGGAATTTCTAATCCAATTTCATACTTGCATATAGATTTTTTATAGAGTTTCACATTTAGTATAGCCTTCTTTCTGGGCTATAGAAGCTAATTGTTACAAATTATCACCAGTCTGCCACAAACCGTTGACCTTGTCTATGAGGATTTAGAAACCTAACTACTAAGTTACAGAACCCAAACCCTCTCAAGAACTTTATTGCATGTTTACCTTATGGTGCCTATCCACTATCTTAGCTTTTCTCTTTCTTCGGGTATTGGGTATATCCGTATCTTTCGAGTTTTCAATCTCTCTTTGTCGTTTTCGATTCTCGGTGGATCTGAGCCCGTTGTATTTTGCCGTGAAGATAGTAACGATCAATAATAGGTCCTCGGCAAGCTCACCGGATTCTGTGCCATCAACGTTGATGTCCGAACCGAGTGCCACGATCATTGTATCGCACTTACCAAAGATCCATTCAACACGAATTTACAAATCCAATCCTTCAAGGTAACTACAACCTCCTTGATATTTCCTTGGTACGATTGTTCCAAAATGGATGTGAGACCCTTGCGTTTCCAGTTGAGACCTGTCCCTGATGAGTTCGTGGTTTGGACATTTCTGTCCGAGGTACTCACATTGCCTCTCGAAATCCTCTTTCTGCTTCTCTGAGCTGACCCTTGCGTAATGGGTCTTTTCTTTTCATTTATCCTTTCTCTATGGAATACAACCTATTACCACCGGGTATTCTGATGCTCGATATCTTCCTTGGTTGTTTCACCTTCTCAATGTTTCAGATGAAATCTCGTATGTTTTTCGGATTTCTTGTGCTCCTCGGTACATATTGGCGAAATCTCCAGTTGAAACACAGTGATTATTAAAAATTAGGTGATATTATCATAACAAAAATTTATAAGTAATTAGGTTACAATCAGGTACGTACGTACAAAAATTTGTAAGTAATCAAGTTACAATCAGGCACATACGTACAAAAAATTTTAATCAGGTACATATGTATAAAATTTATAAGTAATTACAATCAGGTACAAATTTATGAGTAAAATTCATAAGCGATTCATAAACAATTCATTATCAGGCTTACAACCTCTGATCAAAAAATCATTTTTATTTTCAATTATCACATTAATGATTGGCTCAAATTTTATTTAACCTAATCACTCACATTACAATTATCACGAAATCGAAAATCAGACTTATTTATATTTGATAAAGAATATTGAATCATCGTCAATTGATGAAATGATGACAATTCAATATTCTTTGTCATTATTAATCAAATAATATAAAATACTATTGTTTAACAATCAGGAAAATAAATAGCAAAAATAGTAGATTTAATTATTAATATTGAACCGTATAAACTGAATAATTATAAACGTGTTCAGACAATGATTATAGGATGTGCGAGTATTAGATTAATTAGGATGCTAAACAATTTTTTTGGATAGCACAAAATGAGCCCAGAAACCCGGCTTTATATCGTTATGGTTTTTCTTTTTTAAGATTTACTATATTATGGGGTAACATAATAATAAAGGCCTAGCTAAATTTGATTTGAAAAAAAAAACCCACCCCTCATCAAATATTTGTTAATAAATAAGTACGTACGTATGAATTATGTAACGGCAAACCGCTACGTACCATTATCGGCGAATGCGTACAAATAGTTACCCCGTTAAAATACCCACATCCATTAATTTAAATAGTGACACGATAGTAACCAGGAGATATCAATCGTTAAACTTTGAGAATATCGATATAAGAGACTGTAATACTTGCTGAGGATTTGCGATCAAATAATTAAAATAACTATGATCTTCTATATCACCATTTATCAAAGTACCGTACATACATACGTACGTACTTAAAAATGCCAGATTAATGCAGAATGACGCTAATTACTCAAAAACTGGTTTGGATATTTACTCTCATTCAATTTATTGATTTTTCGACACGCCTTTATTTTTAGCATGATCACATTTTTGTGAATATATAGTAAGTGGTACGTACACTTATTATTTTTATTATGCATAACTTAGGTAATACTGCTGTACTGTACACATACGTTTATATATTGATATAATTTTCACACAAAATAAAATCCAATGATCAAAAATTTTTTTTTCTTCAATCGTCATAGTGAAAAAAGATGGTATTTACAACCTCCTAAATTCAAATTGATTTTTTTTTAAATTGATTATTTATAGTAACTAATATAATTTTATTATCACATAATGGCAGATTCTATATCTATTCATTTTTATTAGACATGGGAAAATGCGTTTGAAAAAATGGTTCCATTTTTTTTCTGATAAAGAAAAAGCGACCCTAACAACAGACTTAATTACACTAATATTATCTCGTAAACGATCAATGTGTAATGTATTGGAACATGGTGAACACAAGGTCTTTTTTTTTGTTTGACTGCATTCCTTTTTATCACAAAGTGTGCACTCGTCTTTAAAAATTAATGTTTATTCTATTACTTAGGTTATATACAAAAGGTAGCGTCATTACGAGCATTAGTAAATATATATATATATATTTAAGCTTTTAATATATTTTTTTGTTTTTGATAATAATACAAGATATGCTAGTCTTTATTTTGCGGCGGGTATAGATCGTGAAGAAAATGAATTATATGTCTTAGAAGTGATACATCGTTATGTACAATTACTTGATGAATTTTTTGGAAATGTGTGCGAATTAGATATTATTTATAATTTTGATAAGGTATGTTTTTTTAATATGTTTTTCATTCTATAATTTTCTTGGTTTTTAGGACTAATTTTAGGTCTTTGTAATTTTATAAATTTAAAATTATTTAGGCGTACCATGTGTTAGATGAATTGGTTTTAGGTAACATGTTTTTTATAAATATATTCAATATACATATAAATGTACTAATTTATGTTTTAATTTATGTTAATGCTATTATCCAATTTATTATTGTATAAAAAGCTGGTGAATTGCAAGAACCTGGTAAAAAAGTGGTTATCAGTAAGTTTCTTTTCATTTTATTTGAAATTATGATTAACGTTCATTTTTACTCACTCCTCTAAATCATATAATATAGGTCATGTAAACGCATTCGAACATGCATGTCAATTGGATATAATAACAAGAAATGTTGAAAATTCTGTAATATAGTTTATTATTTGAACCGAGCTAGATATACAAGCTCCTTAGATTTACTCTAATGTTATTTGATTTATGTTATTGCTTAGATTTTTTTTGGTATAATTGTTATTTTTTTTTTATTTTTTTTTTGTTTTTTATTTTTGTTTTTTTTTTCTTTGAAATATCTAATGAAGAGA